GCATGCTTAAGCAACACGCGCTGCAACATTAGTTGCTTGGACCTGCAACATCCCTCTCGGTTGCAAAGTTGTAGCGCTCGCCCTTTTTGGATGTGGCTGGGGCAAGTCGCCCTCATGTTTCAGGATGTGAATGACCTGTCTGATGAGGAGGAGGCTCCGCGGCAGGGTAAGAGCAGGAAGGAGAAACCAACACCGAAGCCGAAGACAACACCAAAAAAGAAACCAAAGGCTTCTGTAAAGAAATCTCCAAAGGCCAAGGCTTCTCCGAAAGCCAAAGCAAAAGGGAAAGCAAAAGGCAAAGCAAAAGCTAGTGCAAAGAAAGAACGAAAGGGAGAGCCATCCAGGAATGAGGTCCAGCCAGAAGAAACAAAGCCTCAGGAATCTCAGGTAGAGACGCTGCCAGTTTTGAAGAGGCCAGCTGCGGCAGGTTCATTGAAGCGTCCGAGCAAGAGCAGCGACGAGCTTCGCTGTTACAAGTACCAGTACCCGTCCAACAAAGTCTACGGCTTCAAGCTCTCAAACCCGAAGAAGGAAGTCTTGAGGGTCGGGGTGGTAGTATGTTTGATTTGTATACCTTTGTGAACTGTTGCTGTGTGTCTTTATTGTTGACTACTGTTTCATCCCTGGAAGATGAAACCTCGGGATGGAGTCCCGGATGAGAAATTCCATGAGATCGCTGCATCTTGGTTGTTGAGACTTCCAGTAACATTCACACTCTAAACTTAATCACTTACTTTGTGCTTGCTGTCACTTCTGCGCATGGACATATTATGTTTCTGTGCATGAACATGTCTCAGGAATTGCTGCGCCTCGAGCTCTTGAAGCACAATGGGGATACCGGTCCCGCTTTGGCCATGAGGGTGGGGGCTATAACTCACTGTGTGCGCATGACATGAGCTTTTACTGTGTTTGTGTGTAATGTGCTTATGTGTGTTGCTGGGTGTTGTTGGCATGTTGTGGCAGGATGCTTTGCTTGATGCTGCGGCGCGAGACGCCGCCAACATGAAGAAGGATGATGCGGACCAGGAGGAACCTGAACCTGCAAAGACAGAACATGACGACGAGCATGACGAAGGTGAAGACGGTGAAGAGGAGGATGTGGAGTTGGATGAAACTGTCCATGTAGGATGATCGAACTCAGTGCGATGGAGATGAAAAAAGCTTGTACCTGTGTGCTGATGGGTTGGCGCAACGTTTTGTCAGTGCATGTTGTCCTGCTGCTTGGTTCCCCCTAAAGAACTGGAACCCTGGTTAGAAACTGGAACCCCAGTTACTAAGCAAAAATTTTATTTCCCCACTTTATAAATTCTCTTTAAAGGCGGAGGGTGGGACGAACAGCGTCAACCGAAAATGCAACCCTCTGCGGAGATCGTGCGTGTTGAGGGCACGCAATGCAGGCGAGAGTGCGATGTGTCTGCGGGGCGCGCAACCCTCTGCGGAGATCGTGCGTGTCGAGTGCACGAAATGCTGGCGAGAGTGCGATTTGTCCGGTGTGCGCGCAACCCTCTGCGGAGATCGTGCGTGTCGAGCGCGCGAAATGCAGGTGAGAGTGCGATTTGTCCGGTGTGCGCGCAACCCTCATGCGGAGATCGTGCGTGATTTGTCCCATGCGCGCGCAACCCTCGGAGATCGTGCGGGTCGATTGCGCGAAATGCAGGCGAGAGTGCGATTTGTCCGGTGTGCGTGCAACCCTCTGCAGAGATCGTGCGGGTCGAGTGCGCGAAATGCAGGCGAGAGTGCGATTTATCCCATACGCGCGCAACCCTCTGCGGAGACCGTGCGGGTCGAGTGCGCGAAAAGCAGGCGAGAGGGCAACTTGTCCCATGCGCGCGCGTATCTGGGAAGCTGGAAGATGAGAACTGGCGACTTGGTAGTACAACTGTAGTACGCGGAGCATCTGGGGAGCTGGAAGATGAGAGCTGGCGACGTCGTAGTACAACTTTATACGCGGAGTACCTGGGGAGCTGGAAGATGAGAGCTGGCGACGTTGTAGTACAACTGTAATAGGCGCAGTCGCGGAGTAGCTGGGGAGCTGGAAGATGAGAACTGGCGACGTTGTAGTACAACTGTAGTAGGCGGAGTCTCTGGGGAGCTGGAAGATGAGAACTGGCGACTTGGTAGGACTACTGTAGTATGCGGAGTATCTGGGCAGCTGGAAGATGAGAACTGGTGACTTGGTAGTACCACTTGAGTCGAAAAAAAACCGGGAATACGTGTTAAGTAAGGCATGTTCCCAGAGGTTCAGAAATCGCTTGGCCACCGCTTGGTATTCTGGTGTTTAAAGTGGGTATGTTACCTCGTCGCGCTAGCAAAACGCAGGGTTGCGCTAGGTTCGCGCTAGGTTTGGCGCTAGGATCAAGTACTTAGGTAACTTAGAAAAGATTAACAAAAAGAGCTGATTGTAACGGTCACTCATTGGTGCACATACACACACACACACCCGCACAGGCACAAGAGCAGCAACTGTTTGAAAGGCAGCGCGCGCTGAAAAAGGCAGCAACTGTTTGAAAGGGAGTAACTGTTTGAGAGACGAGAAAGCGAGTTCTTGATCACAGACGTTTGGTGGCCTCATGCACTGGCAGGGAAGCGCGCTAGATCCGCGCTAGACCCGCGCTAGATCCGCGCTAGACCCCTGTGCAACTTTGACCACTTGTCCAAGCGCTTTCCAGGGTGTATAGTCTTGGCAATTTGTTTCTGTGTGCAAGAGGATGGCTACTTTCAGCTTCACATTTGAAACCATTGGACTCTGTAAGTAAGAACGCAGCTGTTAAAAGGGCATTCACAACATACAACCATATACATGAGCGCATGTTGGGTACATGATGGCCACTGCTTGGAATTGCTGTGATTCCAACCTAGGATAATGATTTTAGAACGGTTTTTTTTCACCTCACTTGAGTACGCGGAGTATCTGGGGAGCTGGAAGGTGAGAACATAGCACCAACTCCACACGCGGAGTCTGTGGGGAGCGGGAAGATGAGAAGTGGCGACGTGGTAGTACAACTGTAGTACGCGGAATAGCTGGGGCGACTTTGCGGTACAACTTTAGTGCGCGGAGTGGCTGGGGATGACCCACAAGAGTGTCCCACCAGAGTGTCCGACAAGACGGCGTGTCGCTTCAGAGAGGCATGAGTGGCGGTCTTATGGGATATGTTTGCGAACAGTGTGTGGCGGACCTATTCAGCGTTGTGCTGACACAGCGAGAAAGACACCAAGAGCTGGGCGCTCCTGAGCCAGACTGAGGTGCTGCCGTATCATCTGCGCATGGACGTCTACAGCCCCTCACCTGCGCAGAGACATGTGACGCAGATACACGCATAGACACACACAGAGAGACCCACACACGGACTCGACACACTAGACTGAACACTTGCACTTAACACTTAACACAAAACTCACTTTAGACGTCACATGTGGTGAAAAATGCTTTTTGGTGTGAGCATTTGTGCTTACACCAACGCAGCGAACACATTGTTCAGTTTGTTCTGCATGTCTCACACCATGACTTCTTCCTCACAACTCCTGTGTGGACGTCGTTCTGCGGAAGCGCAACAAGTACTACACATAATGTCGGGGATTCTGTTCCGTATACAAGGGCTGGTCGCGAGCTGAGCAGAGAGAGAGCGCGCAAAAACATATGCAATGGGTGCTGCGTGTCACCTCCAGCTACTTGGGCGCGTTCTTGTCTGGGAGAGGCGATTAGAAAATAACCAGCATAGTGGTTGTTAACTACATCTAGAGCGAAGCAAATGTCACCTTTAGAGCATCTGTGCAAACAGACTGTGCATTTTGCGTGGCTGACCTTTCGGTGCTCACAGTGAGATTGCAGAAGTCTCCATACAACTTGGGCCAGCTACCACCATATCTTAGCCAGGAACCAAAGCAACTCAACAGCAATGAAGAATATACTTGCAAGAAGTTTCAACGCACCCCACAAGCTTTTGCAATATTCAGTTCCGACATAAACCTTTACAAGGCAAACAGAGCCTTCTTATGGCTATGCATGTGCTGAGCCTCATTGACCAATGCTGAAAGAACAAGCTACCAATTTGCAGCCCACTTGCTCGTAGGTCTGCCTCTTTTCCCAGCCATCATGCCAGGGAACCTTGGCATTGTTGACGACCACTTCTTCATCGTCGCCCATGATGACCCGAGACAGGTGTGCCTCTGTTGGTCCTATGGTAGCAGGACATACCACGACAACCAGCCAGAGCCCATCATGAAAGATGGCCAAACCAGTCCATAGAAACCAGAGACTGGGTTGCCCATGGAGAAACCTGGCAGCTTTGGCAAGTGGCCAGGTGGTCCAATGGATGGGAAGACTGTGGGAAGAAGCTGCGGAAACACACTTGAGAAGGTTGCTCCGTGGAGCGGGTCTTCAGTCGGTCCGCGGTGAGAATTAGCCCTTTAAGATTACTGCAAGTTAGACCTTGACTGAAAAAATGTGCAAAGTCGGAGCAACAAAATGTTTGGACAAACGCATTAGCTCTTTAGAATATGTTAAACAATTGGTGCAGGTACAGGAAACTGGCCAAGTTTCCCTTCCCACTCTTATCCACAGCTTCATTGCGTGTGATAGGATAAGAGTGTCGCACGCCCCTGCGGGTATGCTGTACAAGTGGCTTGGCAAGAGTAGTAGGGATAGCTAGTATAGGGCCCTTGGATACAGGGTTGGACACACACACAGAGACCCACCCACTGCCTCAACTCACTCGGACACACACACAGACAGGGACTCATACACACACAGACATAGAAACACACACACAGAGACCCACACACTGCCTCAACTCACTCGACTTAACACTTCCCACTGAACACTTAACACATAACTCACACTCTGACTTCCTACGTGATGAAAAATGCTTTCGGGCCACTCGTCGTCTAGTTTTTTCCAACACTCTGTGATGCTTGCGACTCCAAAAGAGTTCTACTCAGCCTTGTGAACATTGCTGAAAGCACGGAGCCTGAAAGCAGAAGATTGAAAAGGAGCTTGTGGGGTAATAGACCTAATAGACACCAGATAAACAATGGACTACATAACCCTAAGAACGTGCAACAACTCGATAGTTGAGGGCAATTTGATTTGACGGGTGAAATGTCGCAAATCTTCCCCAAACTAATTTGTGCATCCCAATCATGGTGGTGATCAGAATTGTCATTTCGCACCACGGCCCGTTATGGGCGGTGGACCTAGTAGTTTCCTACCCAGCTAACCAACTAGCTACTTAAACCTGCTGACGTCCTTGAAGTTCCGCAAAGGAGGGTATATTGATTCAAAAGGCGAACCAAGGTGTGTGGTCGCAGGAATATTCAGCGCCTAGGACGAAATTCTTCACCAAACGGCTTCGGACTTTTAAAGTGGCGTAGGAAAGGGACAGGGAAAAAGGCAGGAATAGTTCCGAACATTGTAGGTTGATTTTGGGTTTCTGATTTTAAGCTCTCTTGAATATTCTTATTATATACTGTTTCTTGATGTTTCCTTTTGTGAGGGACTATGTCTTGAAACGGGTTGCTTGAAAGCGGTTTCCTGGGCTCGCCCTTGACTTTAGAGGATTTTAGAGGTATGCGTTCAACTACAACAACCTCCGATCAGTGCAGTGCACATGCATATTGTGATGTCATTACATTGTATATACAAATGAACACCGCAAGAGAGAACTAAGTCAAGACCTTGTCATATGGAACTTGGGCGCAAACAAACACCTGAAAAACGTAAGGTTGCGTAAGGGAGTTGTGAGACATGCATGTTGCGTAAGCTTGCCACAGGGTTGTATGTTCACCTGCAAAAGGAGCCTTTGCGTAAGCATTTCTCTTGGGAGTATGGTTCTCATGTGTGAAAATGCAGATGCGTAAGATTTGCATAAGCTCTTCTCCAACATCCTTTTGCGCGTAAGCTCACATTGTGGTCGCGCAAGAAAAGCCTAAGGAGCGGCGTAAGAAAGTTATGCGACATAGGGATTTACTCATAGTTTAATCGTACTTATTTTGCATAGTTCAATCGAAGAGCTTCGTTTGTATGCAGTGAACATGGTCGGCTTGAGACGGTTGCGTAGGAGTGCCGTGTCTTTTTGCAAATACCAGGACCAAACATCCGC